CTACCGCGAATCTCGTAGACGACGTGTCATACGCTAGCGTGATCGATAATTCGGGTGGCTCGGTTCTTTGTGCTTGGAGCTCAAAGCGGGTGGCTCATGGCGGGGCGTGGAAGGGTAGAAACATGTAGAAAACGTAACGAAAAGGATTGGAAAGTATTGGAAAGTATTGTATTCATCGGGGGCGTGCCAGTGCTCGTCAAACCTTCACGGTATCTGGGCACGCCTTCACTCTTTGTCACTCAACGAATCTCTCTGAATCTCCACCAAATACCTCTCGCAACCAAGGAATATATGTAGAAAGTTCCTATCCCTCCGCATCTCATCACTGTTACTTTCGTACGTACGTACCGAACATCTCAACCGTCATACTATGCTACGAGTACCCCCAATATATCTAATAAGCCCCCCTACTCATGTATGCATCGTCATCTGTCTTCATCGAGAAAAACCAAATTGACCCCTAGTCGACCGTACCACGAAGGCACGCCTTGTCAGCAGTCCTGCTTACTTCAAAACAAAACAAACCATTAAACCAAATTCCTCTTTACCATCTCTCCAAAACAAGCAAGAAAATTCTCCAAACAAACAAAAACCAATATCTTCGCGCCTGGTGTCCTCCGCTACTTGGCGGGCTTCCGCTGCTGGGCGGGCAGAAAATTCTCAAAACAAACAAAAACCAATATCCTCCGCTACTTGGCGGGCTTCCGCTGCTTGGCGGGCAGAAAATTCTCAAAACAAACAAAAAACCAATATCCTCCGCTACTTGGCGGGCTTCCGCTGCTTGGCGGGCAGAAAAATCTCAAAACAACAAAAACAATATCCTCCGCTACTTGGCGGGCTTCCGCTGCTTGGCGGGCAGAAAAATCTCAAAACAACAAAAACAATATCCTCCGCTACTTGGCGGGCTTCCGCTGCTTGGCGGGCAGAAAAATCTCAAGACAACAAAAACAATATCCTCCGCTACTTGGCGGGCTTCCGCTGCTTGGCGGGCAGAAAATTCTCAAAGCTCAATTCGTCTACTCTCAGTCATACGGAGGGTAGCGGGGTGAGACACTGCACCGATATCCCCTGAGGTTTGGAGGCGACCGGCCATGGCAGTCGCAATCGCGTCGGCCAGCTCGTCTGCGGAGGGGTTGGGTGTTGGGCGCCCAGAATCTTGCTGGTGTGCTGCCTCTTGTTCCTCATTTCCTCCCCGCTGCTGCTCGGCTCGATGCCGCACCTCCATCTCGGCCATCTTCTTGGCCAGTTTCTCCTCCATCAGCTGCTCCATCCGAGCTGCTACTCTCTCGTTGACCAGTTCTTCGATCCTGGCGTCCTCCGCTGCTTGGCGGGCTTCTGCTGCTGGGCGGGATTCATCTTCGCGCCTGGTGGCCATCGTGACCCTGCTCTTGATCGCCGCAAAGCGATGCTCCTAAACCAAGCTCTACCGCGAATCTCGTAGACGACGTGTCATACGCTAGCGTGATCGATAATTCGGGTGGCTCGGTTCTTTGTGCTTGGAGCTCAAAGCGGGTGGCTCATGGCGGGGCGTGGAAGGGTAGAAACATGTAGAAAACGTAACGAAAAGGATTGGAAAGTATTGGAAAGTATTGTATTCATCGGGGGCGTGCCAGTGCTCGTCAAACCTTCACGGTATCTGGGCACGCCTTCACTCTTTGTCACTCAACGAATCTCTCTGAATCTCCACCAAATACCTCTCGCAACCAAGGAATATATGTAGAAAGTTCCTATCCCTCCGCATCTCATCACTGTTACTTTCGTACGTACGTACCGAACATCTCAACCGTCATACTATGCTACGAGTACCCCCAATATATCTAATAGGGGGGGTTGTTCGTGAGAGAACGTGAACTGTCTTGAGCTGGTGATACCGCCGGTAGTTCTCCCACTCCGGAGCTGACGTATTCTTTGTTGAATCGCGGGATTGAAATCCAAAGCCAATACGACGAACCAAACATCTACCTATGTAGGCGGGTTGTCTCAGTGTCGCCCCTTGTCGTCGCAATATTTTCGTACGTACATAGTTAGTCTACGACGACCAAAAGTGCTACAGCCGGTATTCGAACTCGTGCGGGTATCCTTTACTAGATAAAACTAGACCATCTGACCAGTCAACGTTTATCTTCTATACTCTTCCGCGCAGCTATCCTTTTCACGCCTCGCGAAGCGGCGATCTACATACTGTAGTGCTACAGTGCATAGTGGCCCCAACAAGCTTTTCGTGAAAAGACGACAGCGACATCATCAGCGACAGTACCAGTAGGATGGAGTGACGAGCTCAAACGAGGTTGGCGCGCGGCGCTTTGGTAAACGTGGTGATCCGCCCACTCAAGACATCAAAACTGGCGTCGAGTGAACTGCGAAAAGAATGCAGGCCGTGATTCATGAAAAATAAACCCAAGAGACTCACCGCGTTCGCTCCTCTCCGTCCGTTGACGCAGTCCATAACGCTCCACCAAACCTCGTCCGACCCCTTCCAAACGCCGCATTCTCGTGTTCTGCGCCCCCATCATCACGGCTGCATCGGCGGCAGCGGAAGCGGCCGCAGCGATGTGGATGTTGTAAACCTCGCGCTCCTCTTCCAGGCGCTCTCGTTCTATCCGCCTGATGAGCTGACCGCTGTGATTTCGCTCTAGGCTCCCGCTATCTTGCTCCTCTTCCTGTTCCCCGCTATCCGGCGGAAATGCCACAATCTCTAGCACCGCTTGTTGCGCGAGGACGGCCTCGTTCGCCGCAGCTTCGTTCGTTAGCTCGGACGGTTTCCCATTCCTATGGTCCATGCCCTTCTCGTTGCCAAGACCCTCGTCGCCAGCGCTTCCATTGCTGTTCGTATTATCTGCGGGTATTGTTGGTGGCGGCGTAGATTTGTTGTTGATGGCAACGTACTTTCCGTTGGTCAAGCGCCAATCTCGCCAGGCGACGGCGTCCTTTCTTGAGCCGCGCAATTGTTGACGCTTCATAGGTCCAGCGGAAGAAGACGGTGGCGACAACGAACGTGGCGGGACGACAGCGACCGCAGCAGGAGCAGAATCGCCGTGTTCAACAGCAACACCGCGGACGCCCTCAACATCCTCGTACACGTGGGAACGCCCGCCCCCGATCGAAAGGTGGTGGGTGACAGGCCTTCCCATCCCGTGGTGGCAATACATGACGACAAAGGTCGTAGTGAAGACGACCGACAGTCCGGTCACCGACCATCTGAGCATGACAGACGCCGGCCTATGCATCCATCCCAACCCTCCTTTATTGGTTCTGCTCGATCTTCGTCTCACGTTTCCGTTGCTGCTGTTGTGGGGAAGCATGGCCGACCTAGCCGGGAAAGGGCGTTCTCTTATCGTCTGGCGATATAGACAACAGTCCGTGCGAACGAAGGGAAGGAAGACGGCTCAGCATCATCAGGCTCAAGAACAATACAGAGGGAATCCTATTTGTGCCCGAGATAATATATCTCTGCCTTCCTACCGAACTGCTTGAAAAGCCTGACACAACGCCCCGACGGGAGGTGTGCCGGTACGTTTTGACCTTGGGCAAGTTGGATGACTCACGCCTGGAACCTCAGGAACCTATGACGGACAGCATCTCTCTGCGTCATGAGGGATTGGTGAACATCCACTACTGTAGTTGGAGGGGCGTGGGGAGAGTTCTCATCAGCATGTGCCGCGTGCTTCAGTCTTTCGATCATTGACCACGCGCGAGTCCCTCTTGGGGACAGGTCACCGCTCGTAGTTCAAGCACATACACCTCGTAAAGCTATCGTTTCGTCCCCACTATTGCCCGGGACACCAACTGTCGCCATATGCACATGTCACATTCATCTTTCCCTTCATGTCTCTCAGGAGGGCGCCCCGTCCTCCTATCTATGCACATCCAACGGTGCCCAACCATGCATGTTGGAAAACTCTCCTCAATACGTAGTATTCACACGAGCATGCAATGTGCTTCACAACTCTTCGTCTTCTGCCATTATGCCGATGAAAACTTTTGTCCTTTATGGCAAGTAAAATCCCCTGCACGAACTCCAAGTCTCAGCTTCATCGCAAATAATGCAAGACCTCATTTCCGAATCTTCCGCGTTTGTCAGTATGACCAAGCCTTGCTCCCTTCTCGCTTTGTTTTATTGTCTGTCCAGTCTTTGAAGTACACTATCCTCGTAGCTTCCTTGTGCTCCCCAAAGAAAACGTCCCCAGTGACGAAAAATCTTGCAAAATGTCACAGCAGTAGTCTTTTCTTTTTTTGCCTTGGGATTATTACCCGGAGGGCGTGCGCGTCAACAAAATCGAAATAAGGAATACCCCGGCGCGTCGTCCAATAGAGGGGGCGGCGATCGATCGATCCGGAAAAAAGCAACCTCGAGGCACCTCCTCTCGATGCGTCGTACGGTACTTTCACCACCGAGCGGACACCGAGCAGGAAACCACGATGGATATGTAACACGTTCCAATTTTTGGTGACTCTCCCTGTATCCTCTCCCTGTATCTGACCCTGCTTTTTTTTAGGCGGCATGCGTTAAGTCTTGTGCTCTCTGTGGTTACGAGATTTTCCGAAAAATAAATTGTACTGCTGTAGCTCATACATTTCGCAAGAGCTACATTTGGAGGATCGTTTCAAGGTTGGCGAACCTTTCGGTACCGTGCGGTGTATTGACGTTGGGCGGCACCCAAAGACTCTTATACCAACGTGCCTCGGTGCGTGGTGGAGCAATCGGATCATTTTTGCAAGTCGATCTTATAGGGGGGATTAATCTGTTCGCCTCTTGCGGCATTCCGTACGCACACAAATCCATGATGAATGGTGCGGTTCATATTGCTTGTCGTTTCAACACAAACTAGACTGTTGCCGTTATCATTTTTTGGCAGCTGCAAGCCTCGCATGCTAAATACTGCTTAAATAGTTAGGCATACGTGCTGCGCAGTCAGACGTGATTCCTGGGAAAAGGGCCATGAATTATGTATGAAGGGTCGGCATATCGACTGGGTACCCCCCGTCGCCGAAGGAGTGTTGACGTCAAGAGGGGAAAGGACCACCACCATCTACTACGTGTTGGGTGTATTTCTTGAGAAAAGGGAGAGGTGCTGTACCAACAGAGGGTTCGTCGTCAACGATGGATGAACGCCAGTGTAAGGACGGCAGCAATTGAATACATCTCTAGCCGTGCTCTCTCGGGCTCGCCGCGCGTGGGTCTGCATATTTATTTCATCTCCGACAACACCTCGAATAGCATGTGCTGTAGACCGCCTGGGTTTTTTGCCTTGTTGCGTGGTTTGTTTGCCTGACGCGACGGGTTTCTTATTTATTGACAGTTTGAGTTGTGAGAAACGAGAAAACGCACACACACGCGTCATGCAAGCTTAACCAAAGCTGCTGCTGGTACATTTACCGGCAACGCCAAGACGATGGCTTCCATCGTCACTCCGAGCTCAAACACACCGAGAAAGAGCTGGAGGGAAAGAGCTGGGATCACCTCTATTCTCCTCTCTTTTCGCAGGTCCTTTTGCGTGACACCACATCTCACCTCTCTCTCTCTCTGCCCCCTACGCCTAGGCTTAGGTTGACCACTAAACCAGGGTAGTGCACGACTCTCGGTGACCAACGGTGCTTGCTATGCCTTTCGGTAACCCTTGTGCTTGATGCTGCCTGCCTGCTGCCTGTCTCGTCCACTCCTTTCTCCCGGTTGATGAAGGTGATGGTGACGTTCCTGTCCTGGAGGCAGACTGGCGAAGGAGAAGCGGGGGCACGGTTGGGTGCAGACACCGGCCATGCAAGGAAATTTCGGCTACAGCAGTACACATGTAATAGAAATTGCAAATCGAATGTTGTCTTTTGCCTTGAAAGATTCAGAATTACTACGGTATCTTCGCGTTTCATCTCGCTGCTTCCGCTCATCTCGCTGCTTCGGCCTGTTGTCTCCTCCGAAATGTTGAAGTTGGTCATTTCCTCATCTGATCCACCGACTGACGCCGAAGGAGGCACTGGAACGATTCGGTGCAGACAGGCGATACATGCAGGGAATGTGTTGAAACGTTTTGATGCTACACTGCGGACTCTATATCTTTGGCCTCTGAAAGATTCTTCAGTACTGACGTACGTTCCTATGTGCACGCTGCACGCGGGAAGACAGGACGCAGGCGGCTACAGAGACAAAGCGTGCAATACCCAAAGTATGCACAATGGAAATACTCTAGTTCACGTTGTGAACTCTCGCCGAGGCGGTAGCATGTACCGCGCCTACGTGGACGGTGAGATACGTACAGTGTAGACTAGTCCACAAGAAGAAGTTCTCGAGATTCGACGTTGAAAAAATACTGTACACACATCACTGTAGGTACAGGGGACGTCAGCAGTACAGCAAGTGACTATCGTGTACCTGGTATGTACGACGGAGACACTTCCAGTGCCCCAGCAGTAACTCATTTGTGTCTGTTCGGAAACACGGGAGACGGCCAACGCTCGGAGGCTCTCGTGCGGGCTGCCCCCGCCGCGAAGTGAACTTATGTACACACTTGAGAGGTGTAAGTCAGGTGTGTACAGTAGCTGGTGCCAGAAAAATAGGACGGACAAACGAACACACACACATTTGCCGTATGTGGATGAAAAAGGGAGAGATCGGGGAAACTTCGAGGGGGTCGCCCCAGCCGTTCGTTTGCTGTTGCTAAAATTGGGCACCGGGAGGCCGTCCTCGTCACGCCAAGCTTTGCAAGTTCCAGTCACCACCGCCCCCTCCCTTGTACGCAGACCGTGCTCGTCACGTCAAGCTTTGCAAGTTGCAGTCACCACCACCTCTCGGTTGTACGCACCCGGAGGGGGGTCCGGCGCTCGTGCGTACAATAGATGTTTGAGGTCTACAGAAGTTACACTCTGTTAGTGACTCTTTAGGTCTAGCCGATGTTGCACTTTGCAAGGCTAGGTTCCTCACGCGAGCAAGGCTAAGCTCCTCACCCCACATCTACCCTAACCCTAACCCTCACCAACGGCCAAAGCACGGCCTAGCGGCCGCGAACTGGTCGAGAACGCGGCGCACGTTGCAATCACTACTGAGATGTTTACGAATCAGCCGGGTTCATATGGGAGGAAGGTCGACCAAGGTTCTGCTTTATAGAACACGTCCAAATCTGCTCGTCGTAGGATGTACACACGAAACCACCCCGCGGGTGTACGAGTGTGATTGTTGCTGTTGTTGTCGTTGTCTTCACATTCACAAACCTTTCTAATGTTCGTGCTGGTCCAACTGACTGACGCGGACGCCTTCCTCCGTGCCAACTGCTCCACCAAACAAATCGGGGGTACCTTTCCAAGAAAAAAATAAAAATGGACAGAAAGTAATCGTCCGACAAGGCGCAATTTTGTTTTTTCTCTGTACCCAAAAGAAAAGAAAAACAGAGAAAAAAAACATCTATGCATACTACTACTGCTGTAAAAGGAACACTAGGCCAATCACTGGGATACGGACGATTGACCCCGGTCGAAAAGGGACGAAAGAACGCAAGACAACGAAAGGAAGAAAAGAAAAGAGGGAGAAAAGACAATACACGTACATTCACACATCGTACATTCATACATTATGGGAAGCAAGGGAAGATAGACACATCACATGTTTGCATTCTTTTCTTTTCCGATGCATAGTCTATACTATTTTCCGGACATAGTCTATACTATATGGATCACTCATGATAATGGGTGACCAACCGTCAGCAGCTTATTTTCTCTCCGGGAAACGACGGAATCTTTTCATGTTAGTTAGCAGCTTACTTCGTGTGTATTCGACATGGGTTCGATATTATAT